TATAGTCTATGTCTAAAAACATGTTCCATCCACGGATAGACTATAGTTGACATGTTTTGCTGTTTGAAATGTTTCATAAATGGATTTGAGGTCGGGAAAGGAGGATTTTGGTGTTGATTCTGTGGCCGTGTGAGTTAGGATTATGGTGTTGATTTAACCAAATTTTCATCCTATCTCTTATACATTATTGATATCTTATATCTGTTTTATTGGTGTTTCAATGATATGTTTTGGTTCTCTTATTTCCATCAATTAATTTCATGTGAGTTAGGAGGAACCGGTTATGCTTCTAAACCGGTTATGGGATTTCCTGGAACCTGAAATCTGGTTTGGTTAAGAAAAAAAATCGTTTCAGGTCGGTTAACTGGTTTTGAACACCCCTACCTTATTGGTAAAAAAGCAAGAGAATGATCTAATATGTTTTTCCAAGTTTGAGTTCTCATGGCCTTTAATAGGGGTGTCCGGGTTATTATGCGCGTACTTTAACTAATCTCTCAAAACCTTAGAACTATCGATAGGGTAGGAGTTTCAGTGGCTAACATGGTCTCTCGAGTTCAAGTCCCCATTGCCCCTAATGGGGGTGGTCAATAGAGTTCTTACTCAATCGGTAGTTTCAAAGTCTTGGGGATTAATTTAGGTGCGTGTAAGTTGGTCCAAATACCCTTGGTCATTAAAAGAAAAAAAAAAAGTAGAATATTTAATGGTGCATTTGGTTTATTATTTTGGATAGGATTTTAGAGATAGTTGGATAGGAGAGTATTACAAGATAAAATTTAAAAATTTATGAAAAAAACCCCAAGGTTTGCTAATTTAATAAACACTCTAATATATTAAAATATTGTAAAATGACAAAAACATCCCTACCACCTACAGTGCCAGATTCCAGCCACCACTGTCGGAATCTGACCGAAAAATTGCGTTACGACACAGACTAGTCGAATCTGTGTCGTAACGCGTTGTTATGGCCTTTTTCGACCAGATCCGATATGGATCTGGTCGGTTGTGGCCTTCGACGGTCGAAAAAGGCTATCTTTAGTCGTCAAGTATGACCGTCGTTGTCTGTCAACAATGGCCAAGATTTGGTCGTCGCTAATAGCTAGATCTGGACATTACCGGCTATTTCCGGTGGTTGTGTAATTATTGTGATAGATTCCGGACACCACCAGCAGTGGTTGTCGAAATCTGGCAAGTATTGTGGGTGGGGGTGTTTTTGTTAGTTTTTAAACTTTTGGGGGGGGGGTATTTAATGAAATTAATAAACATCTGGGGTCTAAAAGTAATTAAAAAAATAGACTAATATTTTGGGAATAACGTGCCAAATAACATTTGAAGAATAAGATTGGGAATATAGATAAAAATAATAAGCCAAACACATCCTAAGTTATGGGCCATTTAAACAGGATAATAAGGGGGTGTTTGTCTAAGCTTATAAGCTGGTCAAACTTGCTTATAAGCTCTAAAATTAAGCTGACTTGTTTGTTTATAATTTTTTTGAGTTTATAAGCTGAAAAAAATAAGTTAGAGGGGAAATACTTTTTTTTTTTTTTTGGCTTATAAGCACTTTGCTTATAAGTTAGTTTGATCAAGTATATTACTACATTATCCTTGTTTAATTTTAAAATTTCATAGTATGTCCTTGTTTAATGTAGTACCATTTTTAGTAATTTTATAATAAAATATACTTATAAGTCACATTTTACCAAACACGTAATTGCTTAAAATTTCAAATGCTTATAAGTTAATTTTAGCTTATAAGTAATTGTTGCTTATAAGCTAATTTTCATAAGCTCAGATAAACACCCCCTAAATAGCTTACAAAAAGTTTAAATTTACTTATGGGCTGTATATGTGAGTTGCTAAAGTAGGTGGCCCAAGTATAAACTTCACCTCCACTATGGGCCGTTATAATAGCCCAAATACTAGAGGGCTTTCACAACATCATTACTATAGTACCTTTCTAATTTTGGGAAGAAATCTAATTAGAGTAATTCTACACCAACAATCTTTTTTCACAATCTTGACGTGACAAATTGTAATTGGTTAGTTCACAACTGGTTTTATATGGGTCCTACGAATTAATTGTGAACTAATTAGTTGTAAATTGTCACGTCAGGATTGTAAAATAAAATTTATGAAAAAGTGTTGTTAGGATAATATTACTCATCTAATTAATTACAATTAACTATAAAAAGTTAATAAAAGCATTTAAAAATTGTTTTTAATAAAAAAAAATATATTAATTATAACTACTTGGTCTTCTTTCAAAGTTGGCACTGGATTTCGGTCAACAAATTCCTTAAAATCTAGTGGGAGATATCATTTTTTTTTTTTTTTTTTATTTATATCCTTTCAACACGGATCCATGTGATGGAGAAATTTTCAACAATTTATATAAGATCTGAGCCAAAAAATTAGAAAATATGGAACAGAACTTAATACTCCCCGTCTCCAAATAAATGACGCTTTAGCATTTGCACACTTTTTTATGCCTCAATTTTTTTTAATGTAACAAAAGAGGAGAGAAGGCTTGGGCATACAAAAAAGTGAAGAGAGAAGATTGAGGCGGACACGCAGAGCAGAGAAAGAGAGAGAGAAGAGATGTGGGCCATTGCAAAAATGGGAGAATAGAGATATCAGACAACTGAGACAAGATAAGCGACACTTATTTAGAAAAAAAATTATACCCTCAAAATGACACTTAAAAGAAAACGGAGGGAGTAATTAATAAGCTCACACTAGCCAATGGATTCTTTGGTAGTGTTGAAGGCAACTTGGAGACAAGACCTAATATATAGTTAACTCAAAGTGGTTAAAGGGTTTCACATTCGGTTATAAAATAATCTGATTTATTTTGTATCTAATTTAAAAACAAAACTTGAAGGTTTTTAGCTGGAACACTTACTCCTCCACTCACCTGGTTCCCTGCCAAAAGTTATATACGTCTAGTTTTGGGTCTTTATATTTCATATATTCTGCTTCAGCTAAGCAACTGATCAGAAGCAGAAGCCCCATCAAGAAGATACAAATTCTACCCTTTTTTTTTTTTCCAAATACCTGAATTTCCAATAAACAACAAAAAAAGGATCAATTAAACACCATTTGAATAGAAATCCTAATACTACTAAAACATAAATAAAGATTGAAGAAGTGTTTTCTTTCATTCTTTGAAGTTTCAAGCTCTAATTATTCCTCCCTTTGCCACTTTTTCTCAGGAAACAAACAGAAATGGAATGAAAGTTGGAGTGCATGCTTACAGCAAAGACATATAAGAAAGTAAAGAGAGCTTAGAACTTACAGTAAGAATTCAAAGAGAGAAACACTGACAGAACAGAATTCTGCTCCGAAGGACACTGCAGGACGGAGGTGGTATTTATACAAACTTTTCTTTTTTATTTTAGAAAATTTTTGTTTTTCCTTTTTATCTTTTAATTTTTTTTTATATTTGATGTAACGTTACACTTAACCATGATATTATTTACGACTTTATTACTGTGTCTAAAAATAATAGTGAAGATGAAAAGACATTTATCTAAATTCTTGAATTATCATCTTTATGGTTGTTTCACATATAACTAATGATTGTTTTAATTAAAACTAATTGGTTTTAACAAGTTTTGATAACAATAAATTGTTCAATTGTTTATTTATTTTTTATTTTTTATTACCGGGGGTATCAAAGCCAGTTAACACGCACCTCAATTAATCCTCCAGACCCTAAAACTATTGGTTGGGTAAGAGCTATAGTGGCTATCCTATTAGCCATTAATGAATAACTCAAACTTAGGACCTCTTGAATAATACACCAAAAGTAAAGACTAAAACTTAAGATCTCTTGATACTTTTAATTAAAAGTGTAGACCTTTAATTAGAACCAATGAGAGATTCAAACCTATAACCTCTTAGAATTTGTTCAATTTTAATTGGTTATACTAATTTTGTCAATTAAAAATACATCTATACAAAATATTAAATAAATATATTCAATTCTATTCAATTGGATTCCATTGTCTGAAATGGAAGAGTTAAATATATTTTCGATATAATTATAAGGTCCAAATTAGACCATTTAGGTTCTTATAAATTAGTAATACAGTAACTAATCTGTTAATTTTATTTTATTTTATTTTTTATAGTTAAGAAAATGTTGACACTCGATTTTGACATTAACGATTCGCACGTGTAAAGTGTTAAGCTGACTTAGAAATTACACGTGAATAAAAAATACAATGAAGTAAATGGAAGATGATTTTTAAAGTGGTTCGGATGCTTAAAGCAAATCTTACGTCCACTGTTCTTTTATATATATGAGGTTACAAAAGATCGCATCTAGCGAATAGTGAGCAAGAGTACAAGTGAGTGATTATTCAGAGAGAATATCAAGTCAGTCTCTTTCTCGCAGGTTATCTGTATTCTAAGAATAAAATGTTACAATCAGAATATAAGTTTCTTATCAGAATCCCAAAATTGAGAGGGGAATTCTTATCAGAATCCCGAAATTGAGAGGGGAAGCCCTTTATTTATAGTAGACGGTTTCAAAGTAATGATTACAAGTATGCAAGTAGATAGGTGTAGTACAATTCCTACAATGCTTCTCATTGGTTGACTACATAGGAGATATCCTCAAATCGCGCAAGGCTCAGATAAGTGGGCGACTCACATCTACTCGTAGATAAAGCCTAAGTATGTCAAGTTGATGCTAACTATACTCTTTCTTTTTTTTGACGACGTGGCAGCTCATGGACGGCACAAAGCATTTATGAACTTTGATTGGTGCTAGCAGATATAAGTTCACGTCAGCCTCGATTTTTTAGGCATAACAGAAAATATTCCTGAATTTTTGATAAAAAAATTATTTCTTTTAATTTTATTAAATTTTACTGCCATTTACACAAGATGATACGTAGCTGACAGTACCTTTAAATTTAGTTATGGGTTGTATATATGAGTGCGTAAAGTTGGTGGCTCAAGTCTAAATTTCACTTCCACTATGGGCCATCAAGTGATAGCCCAAATACTCCTCCCCACCACTAAATAAAATCCCTAATTCCCTTTATATTCATTCAAACCCTAGCCTCCTCCGCCACCACCAAATACTAATCTCAACGCGCTACTCCAAACGGCGTCCAAAACCTTTCTTCGTCGTTGTTCTTCTTCTTATGAATCGGTTATGAATACCAAAATCTCATCTTTGTTCACAAATTCATGTGAAGTGACTACGACTAAACCACAAGATTCAGTACATAGCGTCGAAGAGGTAGGGAGGCTTGACAAATTCCTTCAAAAAGATTGTAAACCAGGTAATATCACTCTTGATGAAGCACGCTATTTCTTTTGTTTAATGATTCCTGTGCAACCCAAACCACCAGTTTCATCATTTAACTGGTTGTTTGGAGCTCTTGCTAAGAAGAAGTTTTATGAAGACGTTATTTTGTTTTACAAGCAAGTGGGTTCAATGGGATTGTTGACAGATTTAATTACTTTGAATATTTTGATTAATTGTTTGTGTAATGTGGGTCGAGCTTGTGATGGTTTTGTTGTTTTTGGGAGGATTTTGAGGTGGACTTTTGACCCAAATGCGGTGACTTTTAATGCTTTGATTAAAGGTTTTGACACAAATGCGGTGACTTTTAATGTTTTTATTAAAAGTTTGTGTTTAGAGAATAGTGTTACGGAGGCTATTCAGAAACTGAAGAAAATGGTTGTATTTGCGGTTAGGCCATACGTGATTACTTTTAATGTTTTGATTAAAAGTTTGTGTTTAGAGAATAGTGTTACGGAGGCTATTCACAAACTGAAGAAAATGGTTGTATTTGCGGTTAGGCCATACGTGATTAAGTATGGGACTTTGATTAATGGGTTGTGCCGCACAGGGAACTGGAGTGTTCGTTAAGATTGCATGAAGAAATTGTTGCTGCTAATGGTGAAGGAGCTGTTATTTGTAAGCTTAGTATTAGTTGTATTATCGATGTTCTTAATAGGGAGAGATTAGTAGATAACTAGGTACAAATAACCTTTCTTTTCCATATGTAATAACAAATCATATGCCTTTTGTAGTTTCCCTTCTTTACAAAACCCATGGATTAAGATGTTATATATCACAACGTAGGCCTTTTTGCTTGGGAGATATTCCACAAGTTTCCTCAAAATGGCCTAATGTTAGACGTTAGTAATATATAACATCTTAATCCATGGGTGCGTTTTGTAAGGAAGGGAAACTACAAAAGGCATATGATTTGTTATCAGATATAGAAAAGAATGGTTGTGCTCCAAATGTTGTTACATTCAATACTCTTATGCGAGGTTTCTTACAAAATAATGAAGCAGCTACAGTGGTTGGACTTCTTCGCAAGGATAGAAATGTGATGCCAAATGTAACCACATTTTCCATAGTTGTAGATCTACTTGCAAAGGATGAAAAATATCCTGAATGTTTGAAGTTGCTTCCTTCATTTCTTGTCCAGATGTCAACAAGACTATAAAAACCTATCTTCCATGTTGTGTATGTCTGCAACTTTATGCTACAAGTGATAGTATTTTCTCTTTTTAATCTTTTATATTATTTTTTAGTCTATTTTTGCTTATTTCAATTTGTTGTTGTTCACCTGAATTCCGATTCCTCTAATTATTTTAAACTCTTTGCAACGAGATCTGGATATTCTGAGAGTATATTGCTGCGAGGCAAAGATGCACTTGATAGTTTAGGAATTGTATGTAGAAGTTGTTTTGAATTCATTTTTACCAAACTTAAAAGATAATAATAAAAATTGGTCTCTTATTATCATAAACAAAAAAATTTATCCAAAATTTTAACCAAAAGTTCTGTTAAACCTTCAGTTTCCATTATTTATGATTATCATGGTGAACTTTTTATAGTTTTGTATCCCAATTTTGTACTGGCACTTAATAAGTGTATCGAAACTAATTATAGTTGAATTAGGTAGATAATAGATATGAGTTCAATATTGATTTTGATCTAATCCATAATTAGTTTGGATTGTATTTAATACGATTTGGCGATTGTGAGGTGTGGCGGCGTGGTGTGTAACAACAGTGTCACATTTCTTTTGTTCTATTGATTTATTGTTAAAAATTACAAATACTAGTTACACAATATGAAAATCTTTAAAATGGTTTCAAAATAGATAAATAGCTTAGTTAGCCATCGTCGGTTTGGTAGTGAGGCCGAACCCAAATGGGAAGAGGGGGTCATAATGTGAATCACCAACATTCATAGGCAGCTGATCAACAGTCTTGAACCATGTATGGGGAAGCTTCCCATTGAAACCATAGTCACCAAATAGAGCATCAGTAACTCCTAGACCCTCGGATCCCGGCAGCCAGGCGGCAACAAGAGCATCCATTGAAGAAACATATGGTTCTAGCACGACTGGACGGCCGGAGATTACGACAACAACACATTTTACAGCTCCACAAACATTTGTGATGGTGCTTGGACCAGGATCAGGGATTGTCAAGTTCAAGCTGTCACCCTTTGTCTCTGCGTAGGGATGTTCACCAACTACAACTATTGCATAAGAGAAATTGTTGGACTTGACGAAGTTGGCATCTGGGTTCTCCTCAAAGACGACTTCAGTTTGTTGATCAATTGTATTCTTTATGGCAGTGAGGATAGTAGTACCTGCTCATTATATAGGTCATATCATGTTAGTTAGTATCATATAGTTGGAGATGCCCATGATCTTATATAGTCTGGTTTCTGTTCTGTGTTTCTTTATCAAAAGCTGTTTTTACTGGTCAGGAAGAATTCTTACCACTTGTCATGTTGTTGCCGCTAAGTCCTTGCCACTCAATTGTCCACCCACCACATTGATAACCAAGATTGTCAGCATGGGTGCCAGCAACTAGTATTTTTGATGCCTTTTTAGGAAGAGGTAGCAATGGCTGATCAGCTGATTCACCGTTCTTCAGCAGCACAAGAGATTTCCTTACAGCTTCGCGAGCCAATTCTCTGTGCTCCTGTTTAAATAACAAGGACCAAATTAAGAATTTTTCAATGCTAGGTCTTGTACATTTAAATTAGATGTCAAAGAACCACTGACTGACCTGACTTCCAAGCTGGTCGACAAAGCTCTCATCAGCTAGTGGATTCTCAAAAAGACCCATCACAAACTTAACTCTTAGAATTCTCTTCACTGCATCATCAATGCGGGTCATGGGGATGACATTTTTCTTTACGAGGGATGTTAGACCATCAATGAATTCTGTATAGTTTTCTGGAACCATGATCTGGCACAAAAACATTTTCAGAATTGGAAAATGAAACTTTTCCAAAATTTGATGGGAATCTGATAAAGTAAATATACTCTTGCGACAAACAATCTCACCATATCAATGCCAGCATTGATGGCCATTTCAATGGAATATGTGTAGTTAGCATGTGGAGGACTTGTGATCCTGTCAATACCCTCCCAGTCTGAGATGACAAAACCCTGAAGCAATCCAAAAGATTCATTCTCATTTCTCAGTTACTTCGCATAGATGTGAAAAACCTCAATTACACATCAAAATAATCGATTTTACCCTGAATCGAAGAGTTTTCTTCAAGAATCCAGTTACAAGATCGCGGTTAGCATGCATCTTAACTCCGTTCCAGCTAGAGTATGAGACCATGACAGTTGACACACCCTTAATAATGGAGTCATAGTAGGCTGGCATGTGTATGCTGAGCAAACCATGTCTGTCTATCACATTGTTGTTTTCATTTATGCCATTGGTTGTCCCACCATCACCCACAAAATGCTTAGCACAAGCTGCAACCTTTGTTCTGTATAAAAAGTACGAAATTAGAATTCAAATTTAGAGGCCATTAATTATCTTATTTTCATCAGTTCATATAACTGGTGGAACAGTGGTCCAAAGCACAAAGTTCGCAATACAAGTCTAAACAAACAAAAGTCCAATACCATAGCCTTCTTTGACCATGACAGCAGACAAGTCAAAACAAAATTTGTGCTGAAATATCTATCCACTTCCGGATAAAACAGAGAATTAGATTGCCAGAAACTCGTCTCCTAGCAGAAGTTGCAAAATTTGACGTTTACAGCCATTGATTACAATAAATGGACAAGCACTTGAAGGAATAAAGGCAGATGCATTTGACTGATAATTAAAGGTAAATCCACAGTTTTATATATAAACAAATATATACTTATGTTGACTTTGAACGTTTAAAAAGTTTCCTTAAAAATGCCCACAGTTTCGCAAAGTGTATACGGATGGTTTTCCTCGTAGAGGAAATATACAACTGTAATTTTAATCTTACAATGATACAGCACAATGTTTCAATATGTTAACAATCTTCTAAGAAAGGAAGAAGATAAATGAGCAAAAGCTTGTGCAACATTCATCTTAAACTATATTGCAAAAAAAATTACTTACTTTCCTGAGACATACGGGACACCCTTTTGAGAGCCAGCAGGAACATCTCCTTGTAGTCCTGGTATAATCTCAGTCATTGCTCGAACAATCTTAGGATCTTCACTGTAGCTTTCAAAGCATCGACCCCATCTCGGATCCCTGCAAACCTGTATTTACGGAAGATTTATGAGGATTCCATAATTAATCTGAAGAATGCAACCCTGAAATCCATCAGCTGTTGAATTTGATAATCTACCGCGATACAAGGTGCAAAAGTATATGGAATTCCTGTAGCTCTTACTTCAAGTGCCGTTGCAGCTCCAATCCTTTTAATAAGTTCAGGGTCCCTGATTGATAAGAAAGAAAATCTCATCACCACTGACAGATATTTTAGCATAATGTTAAATCTTAGGATTCATTAAATTAACTTGCCTTGTAGCTCCAAGGCCAACATTATGAGGAAAGAGAGTTGCATTGTAAACGTTGTTGTGGCCATGAACAGCATCAATACCATAAATCATCGGAATTCCAAGTCTGGTAGATAAAGCACCTTTTTGAAAACCGTTCACCATCTCAATCCAATCCTTTGCTGAAGCTTTTTTAGCTGGAACACTCCCTCCTCCACTCAAGACACTCCCTGTAAAAAATGAAGTTTAGCTTAAGCAGATGCCTCGATCTTTTTTCGGATTATCTCTTAACCGGGAAAACTCCATTTTATGGACAAAAGTAAGGAGAGGATTTACCTATGAAGTAATTCTTGATCACATCAGCTGATGAAACATCGCGTTCAATCTGTGTCATTTGGCCTATTTTTTCCTCCAAAGTCATTCTTTTCATTAAGTCTTTGATTCGAACACTTATCGGTTGTTTGGGGTCTTTATATTTCATATATTCTGCTTCTGCTAAGCAACACAGAAGCATAAGCCCCATCAAGAAGACCCAATTTCTGCCCATTTTTTCAAAACACCTGAATTTCCAAGAAACATCAAAAGATAATCAATTAAAACACCATTTGAATAATTGTAAAGTTATTGGTGAGCAGTGAATGCCGGTATAAGAGCTGAACCTCGGAAACAGATAGCTTAACGAACTCATATAAAGGAACAATTATGGAATATAAAAACAACAATAGATTGAAATCAAATTTAAGAATCTCATCAAGAAAGAACTGAATATAGCAAATCCACAAGTAAAGCTACCACAAAATTCTGAAGTAACCAAAGAAATAGTGAAAAGCTAGAAAAAAGATGCTGATTCTCAAGAATTCTAGTATTCATACTCCACATAACAGTGTAGACTTGCATTACAGGAAAATAAAACATAACAAAGTAAAATACTCCGCTACACTTTCCTCAATGCATAAAATCAAATCCCTCTTCATGAAAAAGATAATTTCAGCGAAAACTAAATTATCGAAAAACCAAAACTTGATAAAAGACTGTTGTTAATTTGTTATTAATGCACGTCATCATTGTGGCTCTAATGTTATTTTTTCCTTTTCCTACACTTTCTCAGGAAACAAACAGAAGATGAATGAAAGTAGCAGTGCATGCATACACCAAAACATATAAGAAAATAGAGAGAGCTTAGAACTTACAATAAGAAATCAGAAACAGAAATACAGAGAAACAGAGTTCTCCTTTGAAAGACAATGCAGGATGGAGGTGGTATTTATAGAAAGTTCTGTTTTTTATTTTTAGAAATTTTCTTTTTCCTTTTTCCTTTTTATTTTTAATTATTATTATTATTGGTGTAACGTTTCAGTTAACGATTTTGGATAAGAAATACAAAACACTAATTTTATTTTTATTCATTTATGACTTATTATAGCGTGTATAAACAATAATAAAAAATAAACATTAAATTTAATTAAAACAAATTAGTTTGAACAAGTTTTAATTTTTGATAAAATCAACTCAATTGGATTTTAATTTACTTAAAATTAAATTAGATATTTTTTTTTCTGGATTTTGTGTCGTTTCTATATATGGAAATTAGGTTTGACAAAATGGCGTGGCTTCAACCGTATACACAACTTGCTTTAATTCACCAATTTTCTTTTTTCTCAATAATAATAATAATAATTGTGGACAGAGACAAAAATTAATGCAGGTTGCACGTGGGCTACTAAATTATATTAATTTATTTTAAGAAAAACAAAATTTTAGTCGAATACTTTTTTGGACCTTTTGGTCCATCTACCTAAGCATATATATTTACTATATTTTAATCAAAAATATTTAGTTAAGATTTAATGAAAGGAAAAGTCATTGATTAAAGTGATCACGCAATTCAAAAGTCTATTCAAACTTCCGTACTGTTATAATTATCGAAAGACGTATATTAAATTTATTTATGATATAACCTTAATCGTCGATTAATATTAATTTATAATTAATCAATAATTAAGATTATACTAAGTTATTCAGTGTACGAATTCGATGTGTATCCTTCGATACTAAATTATTTTTCTTAAAATTTTTACTCATTCGATAGTTCCAGAATCTTAGGAAATTATTTGAGGTTGTTAATAAGGTCATTATAACTCTTATCCAACAGATAGTTTTAAGGTTTCAAGGACTGATAATTTCAGAGTCCTGAGATATTAGATAAGATTACTAATAAAAATAATCACTAAAACTTTTACCTGATCGATAGTTCTAAAGTCTTGAAGGATTAGTTGAGTAGTTCTAAGGTTATGAAGGTTGATAGTTCTAGAGTTCTAAGAGATTAATTAAAGTTACTAATAAGGATGACTATTGAAACTCTTATTCGATTGATAGTTTTTAAATTTTAAGGGATTAATTAAGGTATACATAAACTAATAATAATACCTTAGTCATAAGACTCTAACCTTCTAAAAAAAAAAAAATTATTGATTTAGATAAAGATAAGACGATAAACCAGCGTGGCCTAAAAGTTGTGCAAACTTATGGTCAAAAAGTTGTCAATTCTTCCAATCCAATCTGCCTAACTAATTCAACAAAACAATTTAATCTTTCTTTCTTTATGAACAAATAAATACGGAGAAATAAATTTCAATAAACCTATTAATAAAAAAAATATTTATTATATTTGCAAGGTCTTAGTTGTCTGCTATGCAGCCTATAAAATAAAGTCGAGAAAACTTTATTTAAAATCAAAAGTAATATTGAGTCATCATAAGACGTCCATTGCTTCAGTACAAAAATAATACTTTCCATATTCAGCTCCACTGACTATAAGACATTTTAACATTCATATCCATGTTAATCTTTAAATTTCTTAAAGCCTCCAATATATTAATTAATTATATTATATTATATTATTTTAAATTATTTCAATAATGTAGTGTTTGAAAAGTGATTTATCGTTTGAATTATTTGTACCAGACAAGTACTAGAGCCACCAACGACATTATTTTGATGAATGGGTTGAATATGATATTTTGCCATTTACTTATTGTCAACTATTATTACACTTACAATTTAATTTTATAAACTTTCTCTCAAAATCTCGATATTGCTGTTTGCAATTGATCAGTTCACAATAAGTTTATTTGTTTAATTGCGAGTTAATCACGTTAAAGTTGTAAGAGAAAATTTGTGAAATTATATATTATTTATTTAGATTGATCACAAAATTAAAGTTTTGTTTTTAATTTAGAGACAAAATAAATCGGATTATTTTATGACCGAAACCACTTTGAGTTAACTATATATTAGTTCTTGTCTTTAAGTTGCCTTCAACCCCAATGAAAAAATCGGTTGGCTAGTGTGAGCTTATTAATTATTAAGTTTTGTTTCATATTTTCTAATTTTGCGACTCAGATTCTTATATTAAATTGTTGAAAATATTCAATCCATCACATGGATGCGTGTTGAAAGGATAAATTTAAAAAAAAATAAAAAAAATTGACCGTAATCCATTGCAGACTTTGAAAGAAGAGCAATAAGTTATAATTAATATACTTTTTTATTAAAAATAATTTTTAAATGCTTTTATTAACTTTTTATAGTTACTTGTAATTAATTAGATGAGTAATACTATCATAATAATATTTTCTCACAAACTTTATCTCATAATTATGATGTGATAATTCGTAATGAGTTAGTACACAATTAATTAATAGGACCCATATATAATTAGTTGTGAACTAATCAATTATAAATTGTTACGTCAGAATTGTGAAAGAAGATTGTTAGTGTAATATTACTCTAATTAGATTTCTTCCCAAAATTAGAAAGGTATTATAGTAATGCTGTTGTAAAAGCCCTCTAGTGTTTGGGCTATTATAACGGCCCATAGTGGAAGTGAAGCTTTTACTTGGGCCACCAACTTTAAGAACTCACATATGCAACTCATAACTAAATTTAAAGTTTTTGTAAGCTACTTATTATCCTGTTTAAATGGCAGTAAAGCTTAAATAGAATTATAAAAAAATATTTTTATTAAAAGTTCAGGACTATTTTCTTTATTATTAAAAAAAAAAAAAAAANAAATAATACTTTCCATATTCAGCTCCACTGACCATAAGACATTTTAACATTCATATCCATGTTAATCTTTAAATTTCTTAAAGCCTCCAATATATTAATTAATTATATTATATTATATTATTTTAAATTATTTCAATAATGTAGTGTTTGAAAAGTGATTTATCGTTTGAATTATTTGTACCAGACAACTACAAGAGCCACCAACGACATTATTTCGATGAATGGGTTGAATATGATATTTTGCCATTTACTTATTGTCAACTATTATCATACTTACAATTTAATTTTATAAACTCTCTCTAAAAATCTCGATATTACTGCTTGCAATTGATCAGTTCACAATAAGTTTATTTGTTCAATTGCGAGTTAATCACATTAAAGTTGTTAAAAAAAATTTGTGAAATTATATATTACTTATCTAGATTGATCACAAAATTAGAGTTTTGTTTTTAATTTAGAGACAAAATAAATCAGATTATTTTATGACAGACAAAATAAATCAGATTATTTTATGACCGAAACACTTTGAGTTAACTATATATTAGGTCTTGTCTTTAAGTTGCCTTCAACCCCAATGAAAAAAATCGATTGGCTAGTGTGAACTTATTAATTATTAAGTTTTGTTCCATATTTTCTAATTTTGGGACTCAGATTCTTATATTAAATTGTTGAAAATATTCAATCCATCACATGGATCCGTGTTGAAAGGATAAATTTAAAAAAAAAAAAAAAATTGATATCTCCCACTAGATTTTGGCTAGTGTGAGCTTATTAATTATTAAGTTTTGTTACATATTTCTACTTTTGGGACTCAGATTCTTATATTAAATTGTTGAAAATATTCAATCCATCACATGGATGCGTGTTGAAAGGATAAATTTAAAAAAAAATAAAAAAAATTGACCGTAATCCATTGCGGACTTTGAAAGAAGAGCAATAAGTTATAATTAATATACTTTTTTATTAAAAATAATTTTTAAATGCTTTTATTAACTTTTTATAGGTACTATCCTAATAATATTTTCTCACAAACTTTCTCTCATAATTATGATGTGATAATTCGCAATGAGTTAGTACACAATTAATTAATAGGATCCATATATAACTAGTTGTGAACTAATCAGTTATAAATTGTTACGTCAGGATTGTGAAAGAAGATTGTTGGTGTAATATTACTCTAATTAGGTTTCTTCCCAAAATTAGAAAGGTATTATAGTAATGCTGTTGTAAAAGCCCTCTAGTGTTTGGGCTACTATAACGGCCCATAGTGGAAGTGAAGCTTTTACTTGGGCCACCAACTTTAAGAACTCACATATGCAACTCATAACTAAATTTAAAGTTTTTGTAAGCTACTTATTATCCTGTTTAAATGGCAGTAAAGCTTAAATAGAATTATAAAAAAAATATGTTTATTAAAAGTTCAGGACTATTTTCTTTATTATTAAAAAAAAAAAAAAAATTAAGTACTTAATGTTCTACTTTTTTTTTTTTTTCTTTAATGATCAAAGGTG